ATCAATCTGACATCTCATCCCCCTGTCAGTCTACCTCCCCCATTCTTCAGTTCCCCAAATATGCATCCTGCCCCTTTTGTGGATGCCTCCTCGTCAGGGCCTGCTGCCTACCCCAAAGGCAGAAGCAGCTCTTGCTCACCTCTTTGAGCTCAAAACCTTTCCCCGTCCTCACTAGATAGTTTTTCACTCACTATACTGTTAATTCTTTAAGCTTTTAAAAAAATTTTTTTTAATTTAATCCAGTTCTGTAGTTGTTTCTGTCACCTTCAGAGGAAATGCTGGTCAGAAAAATTCAGATTTGGTCTGGCCTTTACAGTGTTCCTCAAAGAATAGTTTGCAGATGGGTTCCAATCTACCAACTGTTACCAGTCTATACTGAGGTAAGTACAGAAATTGAGAGCAAACATTTAGAAGCTGTTAGAGCAATTTGACATTGCTGTGAAATCATAGCATATAATTTTGTATTTTATAAAAGGACCAATTCATAACATACCTGAGGGGGGAAAAAACTGGTCCTTCACCACAGTTAAGTTGAGAAGCACTTCTCCATACAGTCAAGTGTGAGTCTGCATACTACAAGCCCCCTCTTTTTCTGCTTTTACTGAAAATACATTGTAGAAGAGGAAAAAACCTTTACCCTCTTTAGGTCAAGTGACTAGGTCTGTGAATTAAACTGACCAACACCAGACTAACAGGAGAAAAGATTTATTTTGTCTGTACACGGCAGGACCAGTGGGGTTGGGGGGCAGCCTCACAGGGAAAAAAAGTGAAAACCACAAAAAGGTAGTTAGACCCAGACACTTATATACGATTTTAACAAAGAGCAATAAAGTATGAAGAGACTAGACAAGGGAAGAGGGGGGAGTTTGGGTATCTCAGGTTGGAGGTAAGTTGTGGGAAGGCGACTAAGAAATGTATGATACCTAAGAGTTGTTTAGTAAAATTTGTTATACAGATCAGAGTAGTTGTCTTCCTAGTACATGAGAGGGGAACACCTTTACAAAGGGACATTTAAACCCTGTTTTTAGGCAGAGTGGAGGAGAGGAGAGAGTTCTTCCTGTTGTTCCTGTTCCTGCTGTTTTTCAATTCCCTTCAGCTCAAAATCATCCTATGCCAAAGTGGCATATTTTGGGGTGGCATATTCTGATCCCTTCCACATACGACCAGCCACACATTGTGCCCCTAGACCTGTGATCTATTTTATTGGGCATATTTGTTTGGATGTTTTTTTAATTATATAAGTAATGTATGTTTATTGTAAAATTTTTTAAATTCAGACGAAAGGAAGGGACAACTAAGATCATTCATGATCCCACCACTTTTTACAAGTCAGAGTGAACCTCTCTACATATAGGATAGAAGCGTTCCGCATACCCTTCTAAAGCAGGGTTTCTTCTCCCTCTTATTTTACTCCCTTGGAATATAACCAAGCAAGGAGATTTAGAACACACTCTTTGAAACTTTGCAGCCCAAGGCTTAAAACACCTTAAGATGGGAAGGAAAGAGAAAAGCAATAAAAGAAGTCTTACATTTGTTATTAGAAGAATTATCAAATAAAAATTATCAAAGGTTTGTGGCATCAAACTTTTTGTTCAAAGTTGTTATATCCGGATTATGAGTATGTATATTTTAAATTTCGGTGATGAGTAAAATGTGTGTAAATATTATTTTTAGTTTCTCCGTATCTCATAAAATTTAAACTGATGAATTGCCTCTTTTACTTTAATATCAGTGATAGAAATAACTGATCAAACAGCTTAATAGAAGATTTCTTTCATAGTGATGGCTGACTTTCAGACTAGCTCCTCAAAGAACATGCCTGCATATTTTAAAAAGTTACACAGGTGATTTTGTTTGGTACCTTGATTATGAACCATTGTATTAAAAAACGTACAGTGGCCAAAAAGATCCCATTTATAAGAGCAACTAAAAGTGTCCTAGGGGAAAAACCCCAGTAATCAATATTTGGAGCCAATATGAAGAAAACCTTAAAACTGCAACTTAGAGACATGAAAGAAAAGAGAGAGTATATCATGTTCATAGGTGAGAATATGAGAAAAATGTTAATTTCTAGAAGTTAATATATAAATATAATACTGTCTCCACCAAAATATTAAAAATGTTTAGCATTTGACAAACTAATTTTAAAATTCAGCGGGGAGAAAAAATTCATAAGAAAATATTGACTAAGAATAATAGTGAAATGACTTATTTGTCCAAATATTAAAATACACTATTACAGGGACTCCTGGCTGGCTCAGTCGGTAGAACATGCAACTCTTGATCTCAGGGTCATGTGTTCAAGCCCCGTGTTGGGTGTGGAGCTTACCTAAAAAAAAAATTAAAAAACATTATTACAGTAAAAAAAAAAAATGGTATGGTACTGGATACAAGAATAGATGGGTCAGTGGGAAGGAGTAGAAACCTGAAACTACGTGTGTCTGGGCATGTGTAGATACTATCATTTCAAAGAGTAGTATTTCAGAGAATGACCAGGGAAAAAAATGGGCTGATCCATGCTGGTAATTATATTACAGGGAAGTAAGTAATTTCCAGTTGTTTCTCACTGACTGGTTCCTCCTTTAGGCACTGGCCTCTCACCACTTGACTACCTTCTTGACTACCCTAAGACTCCTTTTTTCCCCTCTTACAGGTCCCTCCAAAAAATCTTCCTCCAGCTCTCAGGAGGGCTCCCAGACTCTTACTGCTTGGCGGTACAATCAGTTCACCTCTCCTTTGCCTAACTCTTCCCTCATCTGAGCTGAACAGTGCTCATCCTCACATTTCACAATTAAAAAGGAAACCGCCTAAGCAAAAACTATAATTCCATCACTGTCAGGGGTCTTTTAGGGCTCCTAGATCAAGCAACCAGCTTAAACTGCAGCCTGCTTTAAAAATGGGATTTTTCCCCTCCCCCAGTACAAAGAAATGAAAAGTATTCATCCTCTGGTAATCAAGGAAATGCAAATTAAAGCAATTGTGACTTTTTTCCTCTTCTATCTGGCAAAGATTCAAAAGGAATAGTCATCCTAGTGGAGGTGAGGTGGAGAGGAAAGGACACTTCCACAATTAGTGGGGGCAGGAATACTATGTTAGCTTTTCGCCAGGAGTGTATCAGAAGTGTTATTGTATGTGCCCCTTGACATATAGGACAAGTACAACTCCGCTTATAGGACTTTTACTCTAACAGGTGATCAGGATTGTTCACAAGATGTGTGAGCATGTTCATTCAGGCTTTATTTCTGATGGTGGAAAATGGTCACCACCATTCTTCAGAGTAGACTAAGCCATCACGAAGATCATTTTATGCAGAAGAATCTTATTTGACATTGGAAAATGTTCATTAGCTGTGAATTGGAAACCAGGCAAATGTTGTAAAGCCTTGTACAAACGTGACAGTATTTTCATTTATCTAAAACCACAGCAAGTTTTAAATAATACAGTCAATTATTCATTAATATTTACTGTGTGCTTAGTCTTCTGCTGGGTATCGGGTGAGAGTATTTAGAAAGTATAAAACATACTCGTTCTTTAGGGCTCTACACTATTATTGAACTGTTGAGCTTGAATATGTGCATTTGCTCCTTGCACACCCAGCAGGTGTAGCTGTAGATAATGGGAAGAGCATTGAATATGGATACAGATTTGAATCCTGTCCCTGTCACATACTTGTCTACTTAGACAAATTATTTGAGAATGAGAAGGATGCTGACATCATGGGGTGACTGTAAGAATGGAGATATAACAAGGAATGTTTCCCAGTGATGCTTGGTGAATAATATTAGTAATGATTATTTATTACTAATGCCTAATTACTAATTATAGTAATAGTAATGAATAGTTTCTCTACTTTCCCTTCTAGAAGTCTCTATCTTTTCAGGGTAATACCTATAGCAGGTATACTGCAGTGTGAGCTCCTGAATAAGTGAATGAGTAAAATACTGGATTTGAAAACATTTCATAAGCCTGAAAGCATTATGAAGTTGTTGGCTAACTATTAGTATTTGAATAATTTCATTAATAGATATAATCTGGCAAAGTTTCATATATATGTATGTAAATGCTAAATGTGTGTAAGTGCCAAATACTATGATACGGGCATATAGGGTTGTTACAGAATTTAAGCAAATGAAAGCCTTAATGTGGCTGGTAATCCACTGAGGGGGCTCTCTGGGAAGGGTGGGATTGGAATGGGACCTTGGATTAAGGTAGGTTTTGAATATGAAGAGCAATATACGAAGAAGCATGTGACAAAAAAGGAAACGGTGTGTTCAGGGAATAGTAATAAGTCTAGCCTGCATGGAGAGTGAGGTATCCTTGAAGAGCCGTTAGATAGGATAGGTGGAAGAGGCAAGGTGGGGCCGACACAACAGAGGCCTTACCGATCTGCTGAGAAATAGAAAAGAACCGTTTTTAAGTTTGGGGCAAGAGAGTACCATTCCGCCACCAACACATCAGGGTGTTAGAATATGTTTGTAGCAATTGACTTTGGTAATTGAAGTGTAAGCAAAAATAAATTATGATTTAGCTACTTTTTTTCCCTCAACAGTATATAGCCTGAATTCCCATTTAGCGGTGATAAGTATAGTGAAATATTTTAGAATCCTTGTTGGATTCTTAAAATATTACACAACGTGACTAGGTACCGATAATTTTGGAACTTGACTCAAAAATATGCTCACAACCCCCAGCATTGCCCTTTTCTGAGACTTTTTGTTACGAAAACTTAAAGGAAATTTATGGTCAATTTTCTACACCTTACGTTATTTGATGCTACCATTTGCTTGTTCTTTGTATTTCTTTCCATGTAGATTTTCGGTGTTCAGATGGTTATAACATCCTTTATAATTTGTCTGTTTTTCGTTGAAAGAAAGGAGATTTAAATAGCTTACTAGAATCGTTAGCTGTAAGCCAACTAATAACTTCATTACAACGTATTCATTTTCAGTGTTTTCTTCCTGGAATTTCCTCTTAACATTCTTTTTCACATTTCTCCACAGTATGGATGGAGCAGATCTGTGTTTTGAAATCGTAAAGCGAGCTGACGCTGGTTTTGTATACAGTGAAGCTGTAGCCAGGTACGTCATTCGTATGGACTCCCCAGAGGTCAAGGTGGAAATAGAAGAAGGAAATGACAAATGACACGAAGTGACCTGCCCTTTTGAACTGATGATGAGCATACTGCCACTCTTGCCTACAAGGAGCCATGTCGGTTTTAGTGTGCGTTAGTGGAACCGAAGTAGCGACTGGAAATGCAAGATATGGAACAATGCATTTATCTATTAATACGGGTTTACAGCTTAACATAGTACTGCTGTCTTTCCCATTTCTGATGACTTTTGTTCAAAGAGGAATTTGATAGCTCAAGAACTATGAAGAATCAAATTTGGGGTTTTTTTGTGTGTTCGATCTTTATTTTGGGCAGATGTGTCTTATTAGTTCTTCATTTGCCTTTTAGTGACAGCAAACTGTTATGTGGCCAGTTAATCTGACGAAACGCACAGAACAGTAGAAGCACAGTTTTCCTGCTAAATATATTTGCTTCAGGCCAGTGTGTGATTCCCAAGCGAATGGTGGCCATTGTTCTAAGTCAAGTTGTTGTAAGGAACTAATGGCTCAAAATAAGGAGTAAAGTTGAAAAATCACAGGAGCCATGCACAGGCCACTTGCTTATAGATTTAGAGCAATATAGCTTTCCGCTTTGGTGGCATTCAATCGTATCATAAACACCCACTTCAGTGGGTTGCCTTTTTATTACATGGGGTCTCCTCAGTCACCAACCATAATATGTTGAAGGATTCAAACCCGCAACTCTAGTGGGGTTTTTTTTTTAATCCCATTTTTCTATTAGTTTTGACTTCGTATTACAATTTAAAATTTTTATTCTGTATTGTGCTTCAGAACTTAAAAGCATTCTTTAATACCAAAACAGTCAATGCCGTCTTGATTTTTCTTATGATACAGCGGTAAACCACTTTATCCAACTAAATTAAACTGTCAGACCCTTGTGCATTTTTGTTCATATTTACTTCTTCAAGAATTTGAGGCTACCTGCCTTTTGAACTTTCCCACATTGATCTCTTTCAACAACAACATCATCAAATAGGGAAAACTAAAAATTCTGGATGTTGATTTTTATAGAACAGTGAAGCTTGAGGAAGGAAGGAGGACTTTTTTCCTTTTGAACCACAATAATGCTTGGGTACTTGGTGCATGTGCTGTTGGGTTTGATGTTAAAGCAGTACCACTTTTACTTTGTTCCCCACTTGTCTGTATGGCTTTTCCTCCACTTTGAGCCTGTCTGTGCCACTGGCCTGGGCATCAGGGTAGGGAGAATAGTCACATGTAGAGGTGATACCATACAGTGAAACGAAAGAGGCTTTCCAGAATGGTCCAGTAAAGCATAGCCTCGGGACCAGTCGGCAGCACTGCAAAGAGAGAAATTTGGCACAATTTATTAAAGGCCCTTCCTAAAAAATGACAAAAGGCAGGGAGGGGCATCCTCAGAAAGTAGTATTAGGTATGTGCCCTTTTGCAGAGGATCAGTGACCATACAACAAGGGCATGTAGAGCCTTCCTTGGGCTGTAGAGCATTCAACCAGATGACTTCCAACCTGCCCCCCTCCTCCTCTGATTCTGTGATTCATCGTTGGGAAATTTAGCTTGCATCAGTATTCTAGTGAGACCAACTGCAAGAAGACTCCGAGGCACCAAATAATCAAATTGATAATGTTTTTCTCCAACTGGCTGAGCTTCAAGAGAAGCAGCAAAGCATGGCATAAAATAAAACTGCATACAGTCCTTACAGCCCAATTAGTGATTACCTCTGTTCTTTCAGAGGCGATGAGTTGTGGAGTGCGCTAACATACAGAATCAGATTATCAAATCAGACAGTTACAAATCAGAGCAATCTTCTTACCTATACCAAGCTTTACTAAATAATTACAAGGATACAGGCAATCAAAAGGCTCAGCTGAAACAGAGAGGTCTGGGTTATCGAGGGCAGCTTCCCACATCAGAAATGCTCCTGTGGCCCAGAGTAGATGAGGTCTCTACATGAGGTTTGTGGGATCCCACACACGGAGGGGAGCATTGCAGTTGCAAGACGTCTCCATTGTATGCCTCAAGGAGTTGTATAGCTTCCATGACCTACTCCAGGAAGCCAGCCATACCTCAAAGATCCTAGATTCTATTTACCATAGGTAATCCTTAGCCCGGGACATCTCTTAAAAACATTTCAGAGACAAGGTCTCTTCTGCCTAACAAGAGTGTTAATTTCTTTACCTAGAATCTCCTCCCCTCTTTTCTTCCACCACCCCAGAAATGCAGGCTTCCATAGGAAATGAATGGATTGCAGGCCTCAGTTCTTTCCTTCCACTGAGTTGTCCTCATTCCTGATCCTTACAGGAGATAGAGACAAACTTATATATTGCAAAGTTTCTCTGAAAGTATAGGCCACCATGATGATTCATGAAAATGAAGTTTTCTAATTAAAGTTTAGGCAGCAATTCTAGGCAGTGTGGGTGGATTTTTGCTTCTCTCTTTATTCTGCTTGCACACTGTTCCCAGGCACAGCCTCCCAGAGTCATGACTGGGAGGGTGGAGAAAGATCACTTTAAATCTATAATATCTGGGGAGAAAAAAATTATATCCTCACCCGACACACTCGAGAGATTCTGGTATGTATATATATTTGGGTCAAATAATTGAGTACTCTGATAATTAGATTAAAAATGCTCATTCATTGAGGTTTTTTTTCTTAATAAGGCTTTGAGATAGGAGTTTTCTTCAGGCTAAAGACATATAAGTGGCTGTCTTAGTACTATGTATCCAAAGCAGTCCATACTGTAGGTATAAGCTATGTCCACGTTACCTAATTTAAACTTACCCACTATTCTGATGTTCATATCTAGATGCACAAACAGGCTGTTCCTAAACCTTTGACTAAACTTAACAATAATAATAATATTGTAATAATAACGACTTACCCTTTGTAGCATGGTTTAGCGTTTACAAAGCACTTTCACATTTGTCTCTGCCATTTCAGGGGGCCACGTAGCCTTCAAAGCCTGATTTGAGCCAGGAAAGGGCCAAGTTAAGAACCCCTAACTTAAACTTAATTATAGGCTGCACAGGCCCAGGCAAAGAGTATATGACCACAGCCCCTTTTGTGTGCATTTGCAAAGTAAGAAAAACTTGACACGACGACTAAGGACAGCATGAGCCAAGTTGTCTGCTTTAGAGCCCAGGTGTGGGGAGACAATGATAAGTATAGCAACAACATAAGGGGTTGATTTGGTTTTTTTTCCTACTTTTCATTTAAGAAATGGAACCTTCTGATCAATTGTAGTACATGAAGTAATGCACATGCCAAGGAGAGGGACATTCATGTGAGTTTTGATAGTAATGTACCCAAGAGAGAACTTGATGGAAATGCGTCTTAGTTGTATAGCAGGAGTGGGGAAATTTTTTTTTTTTTTTTTTTTTTGAATCACAAGGATACACACAAGGGCATTTGAAAGCACTGGTAAATTATTTCGTTTTTATTTAAAGTGTAAGGAATAGAAGATCTAGAAAGATAAAATTCAATAAATACAATAAATACTGTTGCATATGTTGCATTTCTATGTCATGGCTGGTTGGGAGGGAAAAGGGGAAAATGAAAAAGGACGGGGGATAATAGGAAATACAGGGGAAGAGAGGATAAGAAGACACTCAACAGAGAGAAATAGAATTAGAGGAAGAAGAACTTGACAATTAACAGACAGAGGGAAGTCAAAGTAAGCTCTGAAGTAATACTGAATACACGTCTCACTCTCGTCACACCCTGTTGCTAGTTGACCCCGTTAGCACTTT